CTGGACTGGGTTTCGTCTTAAACTTGAACTTGAATAAGAGTAGACTTGGCCTTGCATTGGAGTCAAAAGGACGTAGGAGGATCAGGGGGCAGCCTTGGGCAGCGCTTGACTTGGGTGAACCCTTGGGCGGCGCCCCAAGTGCTTGGGCGTTAGCTCTTGGTGCTTTGGGCGTTGGTCTCTTGCGCGCTGGCCTCTTGGGTGTCCGCCTCTTGGATGTTGGTCTCTTGGACGTCCGCCTCTTGATGTCCTTTTGGATTTCCTCTTGATGGGTCGATCTAGGTTCAATTGGGCTCTTCTTTAGACTTTCTTTGTTTATTTAAATTGGATTTGACCCAGTCAAATTCGGGCTCATCAATATATTTTCTTTACTTCCACAATCTAGAAAAATATTGACATTGATTAAAGCCATGCAATAAGGTAGAATAAATCACAACATTTGTATTTATTTATAAAAGTAATTTCACCTTATCTTGCTCAGTCGTGCCACTTCGGTTTCATCCATTAATAGAAGCAAGACATCTACAAAATTTGTTAACAAACGCTTGAATCTTTGGCCACCGTTGTTATAATATTTTGTCAGATCAAGCACTATGAAATTGCTTGTGAGTGAGATGATATTCCCCTCCTGTACCCAAAATGGTTGATATTTTTGCTCGTTTCCATGTACCACATCTATACTGGTGTTCATCCATGCAATAACAAGAAGACAATATTCTTTTTTACTGTATCATGCACCTCGACTGGCCCTTTTCTTATGTGATGCTTGAGTAGGAATTTCAGGTGTTTCACCAGAAAATTGCGATTGTTGTATTGAAAAATCTGGGAATTGGGAGTATTGGGAATCCATGATGAGATTGAGAAAAAAAAAATTGTAATCTTCAGAGGAATAAAAAAATTTATAGCGGTGGTAAGAAATTCCAACAGGTAATAAAAAAATTTGGAAGAATTACACCTAGATCTCTTGAGATTTATCATTTAATCACTTAAATCTCCTAACATTTAAAATATTACACACAGATACCCTAAAGTTTGTACAAGCGTAATACTTAGACCCCAGTCGTCAAATGTCTGTCAATATATCAATTAGTAAATTACACTCATAACCTCTAAAGTTTGTAGGCTGATAATACTTAAACCTATTAAATATAAAATGTTATACTTAGATAAAAAATATTTCATTTGAAGATAGAATATCAAATATTTTAAATTTTAAAACAAAAATTCATGTTTTATTGTATTGTTTATTGAAATAAAATCAAAAATAAAAAGCCAATTTGTTTGAAAAAAATCATAATAGTACACAATTACACTATCTATTTTAATAAAACTAAAAAAAATCAAACAAGAGGTCTAAGTCAATATAACATGAATTTTAAAACTAAAATTCATGTTTTATTATGTAATTTATTGAAATAAAATTAAAAATAAAATTTTAATTTTTCTTACAAAATCATAATTAATATATAATTATATTATCTATTAGAATAAAACTAAAAAATAAAATAAGAGGTCAAACTATAATTGACACAATATATTCTACCTTTAATTGGGGGTAATTTGGTCGTTTAAATGACCAAATTAAACTTCAATAGATAGTATAATTGTATACTAATTATGATTTTTTTTAAAAAAAATAGATTTTTATTTTTAATTTTATTTCAATAAATATCATAATAGAACATGAATTTTGGTTGTAAAATTTAAAATATTTGATATTTATCTTTGATTGAAGTATTTTTTGTCTAAATATAACATTTTAAACTTGAGGGGTCTAAGTATTACATGCCTATAAACTTCAAGGAGTTTAAGTGTAATTTACTAATAGATATATAATAGACATTTGATGGTAAAGATCTAAGTGTTACGTACGTATAAATCTCAGAGAGTCGGTGTGTAATATTTCAAATAATAAGCAGGTCTGAATGATTAAGTGACAAATCTCAAAAAATTTGAGTATAAGTTCCCCAAAAAATTTTGCACCCTAACGACTATAGAAATCCCAACAGATATAGAATTCCCAATGGCATGAAGAAACTATTGCCTTCAATTGCATGTAAGAACCCGTAAAAAATGTTTGTTTTGATACAAGATTATTCTGCTTGGTCACGTAACGTTACAAACATGTAGAACCGGTACATATATGCTTTCTTGACTGACTTATGCAATAAAATATTGAATTTGACATAAGAGAGGAGATATGCCAAATTTAGCAGTTTGCCAAAATTTATTTTTTTTATCTCAGTTTTTGGCATTTTCGTTGGAGAAGCCTTGCGCGCTAAAACGTACAGTTGGAACCTCAACCTAGCATCTGATATGCCGGTTGGGGATGCTTTTGTACCCATAATTGAATGATGCTCCAATTTTCTGTGAATGGTAAGAATGTTATTTAAAATAAGTTTTGACGAGTCTAGATCTAATTGGCCAGACCTAATAAATCTAGTAAGTCCAAATCAACCAAAAGGCAAGCCAAGTCCGGTGCATCAATACAACCCAGTCCAAAATTCAAGGAGTTCAAGAATATTAGAGCACGTGTGAGAGATTAACGGGATACCTACTCTTGAAGGTCAAGACTATCATAATTGTATTTACTTTTTGTAACTATCCTCTCTGAAGAATTAGTACCTTCACACTCACGTCATCGTCTTACCATACCTATAAATTGTAAGCTATCTCCATTGAAAGTGGCATCTCATTACACATTGAGCTCTACCCCTACATCTATCTACACATTTTCTCTCTGCTAGCTATTGTACTTCTCCTGGAGCACACCTCTCCCAGAGCTCTCTCTCCCTTACCTTATTCATTAATAAAGGCTCATCGGCCACTGTTATCGCTTTTAGAACGAAGTAGGTTATTCGGACAGAACCACTATATATCTGTGTGTTAACTCAATATTTACATTATTGTTATTGATTGATTTATTTATTGTCCAGTAATAATATCTTATCACACATTCGACTGTTGATCTTGCATGAGACTATTTTGTGCACCATTAGTTGGGCGCCATATGTGGAAAACGACTAAGTTTTCTACTACCTTGCTACTCCATGGCAATCATGACCAGGTCGACGAGTCAACAATCGGGAAACAACAACTTGGCCCCCGGGAGGAGGCTCTGCCTCCCTTCGCACCCTCTGAACCATCCATTGTGAAGACTCCAATGGTCAGGCAATAGCTTTTACAGACCATGCAGCTGCTGGTAAACCAGAACCAACAAATCATTCAACTGATGCTCGCCTTGGGAGGCGTCGCCCCTCTGCCCGTAGGAGGAGCACCACTCCCTCCAACGGGAGAAGCACAACAACTTCTCCATTCTGGGCACCAAGCCACCCTCCACCGTGAAGCCTCGCGACAGAATGCCCCATGACAACGTCCAAGTGCCTCTCGCCCTGGAGTTAGTTCTCAACGCACAAGAAGCTCACATGTTCTCACTCCTCATGTACCTGCAAGGGAGGACGAAGGAGAAAGCCAGTATGCCGATCATGAAAGCTAGTACAATAACCCGGCGGAGGATGTCCCCAACTAATGGGACGAGAAGATCATAGAGATGCAAAACCAACTCGGTGATGCCCTTAACGCCATCAAGGCACAAGCGCCAGAGACTATAGATTACCTGGTAAGGCGTACTGACACTTCATTTGTTGTAGATGTTGTTAATTATCACCTTCCCTTAAAGTTCAAGATGCTTGCCATCGAGATCTTCGATGGTACCAAGGACCCTTTGGATCACCTCGACATCTATAAGTCTTTGATGCAACTCCACAATGTGATTGATGAGATCATGAGTAGAGTCTTCCCCACCACCTTGAAGGGTTCTACTCGACAGTGGTTCGCTAAGATCAAACCCTCATCTATCCACTCTTTCGTGAAATTGGAAAACTCTTTCATCTCCCACTGTGTTGGGGGGCACCGACACCAGAAGTCTATTACCCACCTGCTCATCATCAAGCAGGACCAGGATTAAATATTTAAGAGCTACCTCACTCGTTTCAACAAGGAGGCTCTCCAGATCGAGGAGTCAAACGATAAGGTAGCATTGACTGCCTTTATTGCTGGTTTGCGTTCGCCTAGCTTCATGTTCTCTATCCTCAAGAAGTCGTCTTCTAGCATGCCTGAGCTACTATCAAGGGCATAAAAGTACATGAATGTCGAGGACGTCACCATGGCCCGTCGAGGTGAGTCTTCCCGGAGAGGGGAGAAAAGGAAGGACACCCGCGAAGACAAGTGGGAGGCGGAGAACAAGAGAAAGAGATTCGAGAGAGTCTCTATCACGGAATGTCTCAGTCCCTTACACGCGAGAGAATAACAGCCTTTCACGCCATTCAACACCTCGGTGGAGCACATCCTATTCCAGATACAGGATGACCCCACACTCTGATGGCTCGAAAAAATTAAGTCCGCCCAAACTTGTAGAAATTTCAGCAGGTACTGTCACTTCCACCGCGATCATAGCCACTACACTGATGACTGCTATAACTTAAGAGGCAGATCGGGGAGCTCATATAGCGTGGCCAGTTGGGGCAATACGTTGCTGGCAGAGGACAAACCCTGCTAGGAAAGCCTCGACCCACCTATGGAATGCCAAACACCTGAAGAGCTATTATCAATAGCAAGTACAAACTAGTGACTCTCATTTTATCTATCATTTATTGTTTCAGTTGATTTATTCTGTTATTTATTATTTTATGAAATAAAATTATGCGAAGATTATTGTGTTCAAAATTGTCTTACTTTCATTTCATAAAGTTTGTAAACAACTTACAAAAGTTAGAACTTGGACCTAACAACAAGGTAGACAAAAAGACAACAGTCGTTATACTCCCGACGATTAGTCACTGCTTCCTGAGGCTATGGTACCTCATATGGGACAAGGCCAAAATCAAATCAATACCAAAGAAATACCTACGTCGAGGAAGGAAAAAAATATGGGCACCAGATAACATTCCTCCTAAACTCTATCCATGTGAATGCCTAGCCGCTTCTCTATGTTACTCGAGGCATCACCCGAGCGACCCGAGATGCTGGTCGCCGCCTGAGCAACCCGAGACGTAGCTAGAGTGACCTGAGACCTCACCCAAATGACTCGAAGTAGCGCCTTCTCCATCGATGTCTGTGCCTAGTGCATCACCACCACCGAGGCCAGTCTCCCCCTTTGGCATCTCCAACAACCCAGCACCCCACGCCTCGCCTCATTCTGCCTCTACTCTCAAGAAGACAACTTATATCTTCAGCTTCGTGCTCTTTCGCGAGTCGCCAAGAAGCTCGGCCTAATCCTACCTCTACTCTCAAGCAGCCTATTTATCCAGCTTCACACTCTCTCGTGAGTTGCCAATAAGCTCTGCCTGATCTTACTTCTGCTCCCAAGCAGTCTAAGTATCCAGCTTCGTACTCTCTCGTGACCTAATCTTACCTCTGCTCCCAAACAGCCTATGTATCTAGCTTCATACTATCTCGTGAGTCGCCAAGAAGCTCAGCCTGATCTTACTTTTGCTCCTAAGCAGTCTATGTATCCGTGCGAGTCGCCAAGAAGTTCGACCTAATCCTACCTCTACTCCCAAGCAGCCTATATATCCAACTTCGCACTCTCTTGCGTGTCACCAAAAAGCTTGGCCTGATCTTACTTCTGCTCCTAAGAAGCCTATGTATCCAGATTCTCACTCTTTCTCGGGTCACCAAGAAGCTCGACATGATCTTACTTCTACTCCAAAGTAGTCTATGTATCTAGCTTTGCACTCTCTCGCGATTCACAAAGAAGCTCGGCCTAATCCTACCTCTGCTCCCAAACTGTCTATGTATCCAGTTTTGCACTCTCTTGAGAGTCGTCAAGAAGCTCGGCCTAATCCTACCTCTACTCCCAAGCATCCTATGTATCCAGCTTCGCACTCTCTCAAGATTTGCCAAGAAGTTCGACCTAATCTTACCTCTACTCTTAAGCAACCTTAGCCTCCAGCTTTGCGGCCCTCTTATGGGATGTCCGNAAAGTAGTCTATGTATCTAGCTTTGCACTCTCTCGCGATTCACAAAGAAGCTCGGCATAATCCTACCTCTGCTCCCAAACTGTCTATGTATCCAGTTTCGCACTCTCTTGAGAGTCGTCAAGAAGCTCGGCCTAATCCTACCTCTACTCCCAAGCATCCTATGTATCTAGCTTCGCACTCTCTCAAGAGTTGCCAAGAAGTTCGACCTAATCTTACCTCTACTCTTAAACAACCTTAGCCTCCAGCTTTGCGGCCCTCTTATGGGATGTCCGCAGCCCTGACTCTACTCTTGCGCAGGTAGTCTTTTTATAAGCCTCTGTTATGACAGCCCTCTCCCGAGTTATTCATAGCTTGGCCTCAACTCCTACGACCTTCCCACGGGACATTCGCAACCCTAACTCTGCTTTCATGCAGACAGTCTTTTTATCAGCCTCCAAATCTTCGACCCTCTCATTGGATGCTAAAAAACTCAGTCTTAATAGGTGTTACTTTCTCATGAGTGAACCTCAACTGCTCTCAACAGGCCCTCGTGCATGCCTCTCTATTACTAGATGCCTGAATGCCTCTCCAAGTTTCAATGTCCTTGAAAAAGGCAGGGAAAACGACAGCCACTTGCAAGCATTCAAAAAGCAGAATATGAAGGAAATGAGGTGAGTACAAAATCAAAGTTGATAATACCCTCTGGATTTCGAGATCCAACCTATCTGATATCCTCGAAAGTTACAAACCTTCAAAGTTGTTCCTTGGCCAAAGTCACATTGAAGCATGAACCCCAAGTCACTAATAGAAGCAAGGTAGCTAGGTGAAGCTGTAGTCCCTGTAGAAACCGCACTGGAGTCTCAACTCCTACAGTGGTACAAAAGCTAGTTCTAGAACACACAAAAGTCACAGTTTGGAAAAGAGTGGGGGCACCACCGGATCTCGTCCCCGAGAAGCAACCTAGCCATCAAACGTTGACCGAAAAGCACTGGAGGCATCAAACCTAACCCTTTTAGGAAGAGGAAAAAATGTCACCCTAAAAGCATAAAGAGCCTCTATCATCGTTATGTTAACGGAACGCCTATAATCAGAGAAAATGGTCGAGAACTAGCATAGTCAAAAGCCATCATGGTCTTCCTGTCTAGCAAAAACCCAGAATGCCAACCCGTCGCTCATGAATGTCTGATAGTTACTTGCCAGAACGCAGCTTCCCANAAAATGGTCGAGAACTAGCATAGTCAAAAGCCATCATGGTCTTCCTGTCTAGCAAAAACCCAGAAATGCCAACCCGTCGCTCATGAATGTCTGATAGTTACCTGCCAGAACGCAGCTTCCTANATAGTCAAAAGCCATCATGGTCTTCCTGTCTAGCAAAAACCCAGAATGCCAACCCGTCGCTCATGAATGTCTGATAGTTACTTGCCAGAACGCAGCTTCCCATCACTATCGATTTCACTAATTTGTGTTTAAAACTCAAATTCAGAGAGAAAGAATCATTTTTTGGGAAAATTTGCTACCTAAACCACCTTCGGGAGTTTAAATGTCGTAGATTTGGAAAAAATACCCAGATTCAAAAAACAATTCTCCTTAAACAGGCAACCGAGCACAAAGTTACGGTCGTTCAAAGTTTTACCATTTTTTTTTTGATTTTCTAATACTTTAATTGGCTCCCCAACCTCCAAAGCGTCACCCATACCACATACATCCTTTGGTGTCGCCCAGGGCTCCATGGTGTCGCCAATACCTGATTCTACTCCAAGGCGTTGCCTCCTGCTCCAAGCCAGCGCCAACGCCAGCAGCTAGCCCCTAGGTGCCCATGCTAGACAGCACCAACCAGCGCCCAAGCAGATACGATCAGGCCAACGCGAATGCATCCATATTCATGTAAATTTTACTGATGTAATCATTAGATACGATTAGGACAATTGAATGTTGTTCAACATCTGATAAGGTGGCATGGTTTAGTTATTGACGTGTGGCAGACCTAAGCAAGAGGACATATTGAAAGATATGGGAAAAAGAAAAAAAGTGAGGTGGAAGGTTGAGCATTGTAGCGCCTTAGTTGCCCCCTTCATGGGTTGCATTTGAAACACAGAAATGAGAATGGACACGGGGCTGTTAACTATAGCACTTCAGCAAACTGATACCCACGACATATATCATAAAGATTTGAGGTGTCCGGATGTGCTATACTGCTGAGAAATGTTTTCTTACATCTTGCTTTATCCAATATTTGTTGGGTTGATAAAAATGAGAGAATAATGATGACCTCTCTATGTTGCTCGTGGGTAATGGTGTGTATATTTTTCTAAGGCAGGGGCCGCCAGCGCCTAGGCTGGCGTTGCCCACCTCGTTGTCGACCCTGTCATGCTGCGAGACGATTTCTTGAGCGCTGTCCCTGCCTCTTACCTCTCCTGTGATGTTGCCACTGAGGGTCTCGCCCAAATCATGGACTTTGGCGTCGCCCAGCATCTCCCCAAAGCTGCCCAGCGGCTGATTCCATGCACTGGCATTGCTCGGCTCCTCTACCGATGGGTTTTTCTTACAATACCATCCATGGGATACCTTTTTTCCAGTCACGATCTCTAGTGAAAGATTCACAACTCTCAAGGGACAAGCTCACAGGAAGAAAAATAAAGAAAGAGGAGTTCAATGAAAACTAGCCTCTTAAGGCCCTAGAAGTGGGCTTTAAATACGGGAGGTTGAGATCTCCTTTGAGTGCATAGTAAATATTTAGTAACAAAGTGAAGAAGATGAACTTCGAAGGTATGCATAAAGGAAAAGATGAAGAAGCTACCATGCAAAACAAGCCACCCGAAATAGAAGACTCGTTTATGCCCGCAACCCCTTCACCACCATCAAGGCTTAGGGCATGGAGGGCAAATGACGAGTCCAGATCTAACTGGGCGAGTCCCAATAAATCTAGCAAGTCCAAGTCAACCAAAAGGTAGGCCAAGCCTGGTGCTTCAATCCAACCCAATCCAATATTCAAGCAGTCCAAGAATATTAGAGCACATGGGAGAAAGATTATCGGAATACTCACTCTCGAAGGTCAAAACTATCATAATTGTACTTACCTTTTGTAACTATCATCTCCCAAGAATTCGTACCCTCACACTCACATCACCGCCTCACCATGCCTATAAATTGTAAGCTCTCTCCATTGAGAGGGACATCTCACTACACATTGAACTATACTCCTACATCTCTCTACACACTTTCTCTCTCCTAGCTATTGTACTTCTCCTAGAGAACACCTCTCGCAAAGCTCTCTCTCCCTTACCTTATTCATTAATAAAGGCTCACCGGCCACCGTTGTCGCTTTCAGAGCAGAGTAGGTCATCTGAACCGAACCATTATATATCTGTGTGTTGACTCAATATTTACATTACTGTAAGTGATTTATTTATTTATTATCCATTAATTATACCTTATCACACACTCGACTGTTGATCTTGTACGANTTAATAAAGGCTCACCGGCCACCGTTGTCGCTTTCAGAGCAGAGTAGGTCATCTGAACCGAACCATTATATATCTGTGTATTGACTCAATATTTACATTACTGCCATTGATTTATTTATTTATTATCCATTAATTATATCTTATCACACACTCGACTATTGATCTTGTACAAGACTATTTTGTGCATCATCAAATTTCAAATTTTAAAATATCAAATAAATTAAGTAAGTTGATGTGGATGGACCCTTACCATTCAAAAAGATATAGAAGGTTCTCCGATCATTTGAGAATTAGAGGCTAGCTGAATCCATATAGAAGTACTTTCTTTCAGGTACAAGTGTTCCTATCCATAATAAAAAGGATAAATCCCACAATTGCCTCCTAAACTATAATCTTTGTTTTAAATTGCTCCATCAACTTTCAATTTTTTTTTAATTTACCCCCTCATCTATTTGAATGGTTTTAATCACCACCTTTTGTTAAAATCGGTCGCCAGATTAGAATGAAACCCAACATGTGATATACACGTGATAATTGGTGGGGCCATTTTTGGCACCTCAAAAGCTGATGCCAATTTTTCATATAGAGGTACTTTCTTCAAGCTACAACTCCTCCCCTCCATAATAAAAATGGTAAATCTCATAAATTCCTCGTGAGCTATAGTCTTTATTTTAAATTGTTCCCTCAACTCTCAATTTTTTAAAGATTTTTTTAGAGGTTGGTCTCCAAGTTTAATAGGATTCTAAAAAAAAATCACTTAACCATTTTTTTTTTTANGCCTCCTAAACTATAATCTTTGTTTTAAATTGCTCCATCAACTTTCAATTTTTTTTAATTTACCCCCTCATCTATTTGAATGGTTTTAATCACCACCTTTTGTTAAAATCGGTCGTTAGATTAGAATGAAACCCAACATGTGATATACACGTGATAATTGGTGGGACCATTTTTGGCACCTCAAAAGCTGATGCCAATTTTTCATATAGAGGTACTTTCTTCGAGGTACAACTCCTCCCCTCCACAATAAAAATGGTAAATCTCATAAATTCCTTGTGAGCTATAGTCTTTATTTTAAATTGTTCCCTCAACTCTCAATTTTTTAAAGATTTTTTTAAAGGTTGGTCTCCAAGTTTAATAGGATTCTAAAAAAAAAATCACTTAACCAATTTTTTTTTTTTTTGGNCTTTATTTTAAATTGTTCCCTCAACTCTCAATTTTTTAAAGATTTTTTTAGAGGTTGGTCTCCAAGTTTAATAGGATTCTAAAAAAAAATCACTTAACCATTTTTTTTTTTAATTAGATCCATGTTGAAAAGTCAAAGAAATAAACATAATTAATGCTCTTAAATATTACATAAAATAATAACAATGACATCACCAAATATAAAAATAAAATAAAATAAAAACGTATATGTTATCATAGTGTACCTTTTCTATACTAACACACTCAGTCATAAGGGACACTAAACTAGGNGAAAAGTCAAAGAAATAAACATAATTAATGCTCTTAAATATTACATAAAATAATAACAATGACATCACCAAATATAAAAATAAAATAAAATAAAAACGTATATGTCATTATAGTGTACCTTTTCTATACTAACACACTCGGTCATAAGGGACACTAAACTATGNGAAATGTTTTCTTACATCTTGCTTTATCCAATATTTGTTGGGTTGATAAAAATGAGTGAATAATGATGACCTCTCTATGTTGCTCGTGGGCAATGGTGTGTATATTTTTCTAAGGCAGGGGCCGTCAGCGCCTAGGCTGGCGTTGCCCACCTCGTTGTCGACCCTGTCATGCTGCGAGACGATTTCTTGAGCGCTGTCCCTGCCTCTTACCTCTCCTGTGATGTTGCCACTGAGGGTCTCACCCAAATCATGGACTTTGGCGTCGCCCAGCATCTCCCCAAAGCTGCCCAGCGGCTGATTCCATGCACTGGCATTGCTCGGCTCCTCTACCGATGGGTTTTTCTTACAATACCATCCATGGGATACCTTTTTTCCAGTCACGATCTCTAGTGAAAGATTCACAACTCTCAAGGGACAAGCTCGCAGGAAGAAAAATAAAGAAAGAGGAGTTCAATGAAAACTAGCCTCTTAAGGCCCTAGAAGTGGGCTTTAAATACGGGAGGTTGAGATCTCCTTTGAGTGCATAGTAAATATTTAGTAACAAAGTGAAGAAGATGAACTTCGAAGGTATGCATAAAGGAAAAGACGAAGAAGCTACCATGCAAAACAAGTCACCCGAAATAGAAGACTCGTTTATGCCCGCAACCCCTTCACCACCATCAAGGCTTGGGGCATGGAGGGCAAATGACGAGTCCAGATCTAACTGGGCGAGTCCCAATAAATCTAGCAAGTCCAAGTCAACCAAAAGGCAGGCCAAGCCTGGTGCTTCAATCCAACCCAATCCAATATTCAAGCAGTCCAAGAATATTAGAGCACATGGGAGAGAGATTATCGGAATACTCACTCTCGAAGGTCAAAACTATCATAATTGTACTTACCTTTTGTAACTATCATCTCCTAAGAATTAGTACCCTCACACTCACATCACCGCCTCGCCGTGCCTATAAATTGTAAGTTCTCTCCATTGAGAGGGACATCTCACTACACATTGAACTATACTCCTACATCTCTCTACACACTTTCTCTCTCCTAACTATTGTACTTCTCCTAGAGAACACCTCTCGCAAAGCTCTCTCTCCCTTACCTTATTCATTAATAAAGGCTCACCGGCCACCGTTGTCGCTTTCAGAGCAGAGTAGGTCATCTGAACCGAACCATTATATATCTGTGTGTTGACTCAATATTTACATTACTGTAAGTGATTTATTTATTTATTATCCATTAATTATACCTTATCACACACTCGACTGTTGATCTTGTACGAGACTATTTTGTGCATCATCAAATTTCAAATTTTAAAATATCAAATAAATTAAGTAAGTTGATGTGGATGGACCCTTACCATTCAAAAAGATATAGAAGGTTCTCCGATCATTTGAGAATTAGAGGCTAGCTGAATCCATATAGAAGTACTTTCTTTGAGGTACAAGTGTTCCTATCCATAATAAAAAGGATAAATCCCACAATTGCCTCCTAAACTATAATCTTTGTTTTAAATTGCTCCATCAACTTTCAATTTTTTTTAATTTACCCCCTCATCTATTTGAATGGTTTTAATCACCACCTTTTGTTAAAATCGGTCGTTAGATTAGAATGAAACCCAACATGTGATATACACGTGATAATTGGTGGGACCATTTTTGGCACCTCAAAAGCTGATGCCAATTTTTCATATAGAGGTACTTTCTTCGAGGTACAACTCCTCCCCTCCACAATAAAAATGGTAAATCTCATAAATTCCTTGTGAGCTATAGTCTTTATTTTAAATTGTTCCCTCAACTCTCAATTTTTTAAAGATTTTTTTAGAGGTTGGTCTCCAAGTTTAATAGGATTCTAAAAAAAAATCACTTAACCATTTTTTTTTTTAATTAGATCCATGTTGAAAAGTCAAAGAAATAAACATAATTAATGCTCTTAAATATTACATAAAATAATAACAATGACATCACCAAATATAAAAATAAAATAAAATAAAAACGTATATGTCATTATAGTGTACCTTTTCTATACTAACACACTCGGTCATAAGGGACACTAAACTATGATGAGTTTCTCTCGTTAACGTACACATTAAATGACAATTTACAGATATAATAACAAATATTTATTAATATGTATCTACCCATACATACATCGCGAAGAGACGTTTGGACTGTAAAGACATCTCTTCGATTTACTACGCAATTAACACCATTATAAACATAAAATTAAACCTCTTCAACAACCACATCAAATTTCCTCCATAAATAGACATTAAAAAACCAGAACAATGCATTGGAAAAAAAAAATGGAACAGCAGGGCAACAACGAAGAGAGTCTAACATCCACATGCTTAACGATTTTCTGAACGAAGCCCATGCGAAACAAGATCTCATGCAGCAAGAAATAACCATGCTAGAATCCCAACTCTACTCCAACAAACAATGCGACAATTGGAAACGACTTGCGAAAAAATATATCAACAAGTTTAAGGAGGATATGAAATAGAACAAGAAGTTTGAGACAGAGTGGAAGGACCTCAAAAAATGATCATCTTCTCTATTTTTTCTTTTTTTCAAAAAACGAAAAATCCACACATGTAATATCTCTTTTGGGAATGAACTTTTAAAGAGCACTGCTGGATACTTTAAATTTGTATACCAAAGTAACCACGTGGAAAGACATGTGTCTTTGGATTGTGTACCTATACTATTCATAGACACGTGACAAGTTCATCAAAAAAAATGTGTAAAAATATAATATATTTGAAATTCAAAAAATATGTGCGTAAATGACAGTATTTCCTAACCCATAAGCATTCAAAACAAAAAACCCCCCCAAAAAAAATTCCTCAACCTATTCTCGTTCAACACTAAAGGTATTCTATACATATCCCAAATAGTGCACTTAGACAGTTGAATATATCGGAGGAAGTTCAACCAAATAGATACCATATAAAAAACCAATCAATCATTTTAGTACATTGTTATTGTACCTACTATCTTCCATTCGTTTTACCCTGATCAAAAACTAAGGCCTCATTTGGTTAGCATTTTTATTTCGTGTTTTGTGCTTTTGTTTTCATTTTTTGAGAAAAATAAAAATAAAAAACATGTTTGGCTTTGTGTTTTTGTTTTATATAAAATAAGTTGCTTTGGAAACAAGGCCTAAAAACAAAGAACAAAAAAAAAATGTTCCAAGAAACAAGAGAAATAGAAACGACACGTGCAAAGGCCGGGGAGAATTAATGAAATTCAGGCTTCGAGTCTTCTTACCAGCAAAACACTGTTTTTTTTTTGTTGAAGGATAAAAACCAACTTCATCATTTCTCTCTCTCTCTCCTCTATCCTCTTTTGTATCACAAACCATCGTTGCCTCTGCCTCTCCATCGCTACCTTTGTCTCTCCATCATTGCCTCTCCCTCTCTCTTTCGCTACCTCTATCTCTCCATCGATGCGTCTCCCTCACTACCACTTCGTCTCTTTCGCTATCTCTCCCTCTCTCCATCGTTGCCTCTCCNCTTCCTCTCTTTCGCTATCTCTCCCTCTCTCCATCGTTGCCTCTCCCTCTCTCCATTGTTGCCTCCATCATTGTGGGTATGTAGATCTACATCGATGTGTATGTGTGTGATTTCTAGGTCTTTGTGTGTGTGTCTAATTTCTGTGTGGGTATTTTTGTGTGTGTGAATTCTGTGTGTGGGTGTGTGTGATTTCGCTGTGTTTTTGTGTGTGTGTGAATTCTGAGTGGGTATGTGTGGATTCTGGGTGGGTTCACTATGTGTGGGTGTGTTTTGTTATGTTGTAGAGAAGACAAAGAGAAAGAGAATAGGGGGGAGAAAGGGATATCTGCTATGGGTCTGTGTGTGTGTGTGAGTTTGGGTTTTTTTTTTTTAGTTTAATTTTTTCTGGCAACAATGGAATTNAGACATGTGTCTTTGGATTGTGTACCTATACTATTCATAGACACGTGACAAGTTCACCAAAAAAAATGTGTAAAAATATAATATATTTGAAATTCAAAAAATATGTGTGTAAATGACAGTATTTCCTAACCCATAAGCATTCAAAACAAAAAACCCCCCCAAAAAAAATTCCTCAACCTTTTCTCGTTCAACACTAAAGGTATTCTGTACATATCCCAAATAGAGCACTTAGAAAGTTGAATATATCGGAGGAAGTTCAACCGAATAGATACCATATAAAAAACCAATCAATCATTTTAGTACATTGTTATTGTACCTACTATCTTCCATTCGATTATTTCTTCCATTCGTTTTACCCTGATCAAAAACTAAGGGCTCATTTGGTTAGCATTTTTGTTTTGNAGCTGTTTTAGTAATGTACCTATTATCTCATTACAAAATTCTTCATACGTAGTACTATCATTTAGAGTAACAGTAAAAGCAATTGAAGATTTGAATCAAACTTATACCTCACAATCACAATTCCTTCCATCCCATATAAAACCGAATAAGTGTATAAACCGTCAAAACAAATACACATGTAAAATATGTATATACACAGGTAACCACAACTTATCAAAAATGGAGATACTTAACCATCATCATCAAATCTAAATAGTGAATATGGAAGGTAATCACAATAAAAAAAATGCATAAACCGAACGCAACCTGGAACGCAACAAATCTATAGACATTTAAATAGATACCTTACATATCATATACGAATAATAGAAAAAATACATCAAAATTGGCAACAGGTACATAAACAGAAACACAAAAATAGNTTTGTGTTTTTGTTTTATATAAAATAAGTTGCTTTGGAAACAAGGCCTAAAAACAAGGAACAAAAAAAAAAGATGTTCCAAGAAACAAGAGAAACAGAAACGACACGTGCAAAGACTGGGGAGAATTAATGAGATTCAGGCTTCGAGTCTTCTTACCAGCAAAACACAGTTTTTTTTTGTTGAAGTATAAAAACCAACTTCATCATTTCTCTCTCTCTCTCTCTCTCTCTCTCTCTCTCTCTCCCCTCTATCCTCTTCTATATCACAAACCATCGTTGCCTCTGCCTCTGCCTCTCCATCGCTACCTCTGTCTCTCTCTTTCGCTACCTCTATCTCTCCATCGATGCCTCTCCCTCGCTACCTCTTCCTCTCTTTCGCTATATNATACGAATAATAGAAAAAATACATCAAAATTGGCAACAGGTACATAAACAGAAACACAAAAATAGCATTAAACAAAAATGATTACACAAGTACATTTTACTTCACATATGTTACTAATTATGTGCATTACATATCCAACATGCATAAAAAAAAACAGGTACATTATACGAATAAACTACATCAATATTCCATTAAGTATAGGTACATCTACACACTATAGGTACACAATTACACAAATAAATCATATTGAACATGTAGCTATAAATATAAGGGCCTTCTCCATGTAAAGGCATCTAAAAAAATCCAACAAATGAGGTAGAGTGTAACCCTATCTTCTTCTCCGACCAATATAGAGCATTGAATGAGCAAGATATTTTATTAGAGTGAATTAGTCAAACTCTTTAACTAGTGAACCACTATAGCTTGTGTGTTTTTTCCTTTTCCCAGCTCTTACCTCTGTCATCCAATTAGTGTAGCACATCACAGAGCCATCAGGCTCAATCACCAGATTGATGTCACATTCATTGTTCACTTTCACACTACTGCACACAAGCACACTTTGAGTGCAAAACATCATGAATTACTAATTCAATGACTACAATAAATTAGTCCAATATATAAAATTAACAAATTAAATCTAAATAGTATTATTATTCTTTTGTCAAGACCGAAGGAATCAGCACTACTGAACAAGAAACTGTTATCCATTCAAAAGGTTTCTGAGGTTCACACTCGGGATTGCCCCACCAGCTTTATCTTTTACGAGAAAAGAAAAGAATCTACACAAACAGCCACAACTTTTCTTAATATAGGAATATAAAAAGTGACAAGACCAAATACAGAACTTTGTCCTAATGGAATTGAGTTTTCCCACTTCAATATCATAATCTTCATGATTTAGTGGGAACATGAAGAGAATTTTCATATTCAGACTACCATTTTGAAGAAACGCACAAATAGGCGGAGCCCAGAAGGGGCCAAGGAATCCGTGGCCAACCTTAAATAAATTTCTGGCTCCCCTCTGTACACGCACCATATTTAAGAGCTGTAGCCAGTGTGTGTGTGTGAGAGAGAGAGAGAGATGGGGAACAATATAGGAGGAAGGAAGAAAGCCAAGGTGATGAAAATCAACGGCGAAATCTTCAAGCTAAAGGCTCCAATATCAACCTGGGATGTAGTTAAGGACTTCCCGGGTCACGTATTATTGGAATCAAATTCAGTTAAGCAGTACGGCATTANAGTTTAATTTTTTCTGGCAACAATGGAAATTTTTTTTATTTACAATGGAATGTATTGCTATGTTATAACAATGGGATTTTGAGTTGATTTTTGTAGCAGGAAATAATATAAAGCTCAATATTGGAACATAATTTGAAGTGGTTACTAAGCATGTTTTTTATTTTTATTTTTATAATTTGGTAAACACAAATAACTTCTAAATGTGTTTTTTATTCTCAATGTTTACCATAAAACAAAACAAAAATTATCTCTGTTTTTAATTTTTTTGAAAACATGAAAATAAAAACGTTGTCAAATGACCCCTAGGGTTTCAATAAAATACAACTCAATCCGTACTAGGTTTTTTTTGCTATGTATTTTGTAATGTACCTATACCACAAATATAACTATACATAGCTACTCCCTCATTTTGTTCTTTTTTTTTGCATGTACATGTAGCTTAAATCTATTGTGCCTATGCTATGTACATGAACGACAACCAAGAATACAAAACTTTCGATCAAGTAGAATAGAATTTCATTTAAATAAAAAACTTGAATTTTAGTGTACTTGTATGTACTCATAGGTACACTTTTAATGTACATACTTATTATCATTCGATTATTTCGCTAGCTGTTTTAGTAATGTACCTATTATCTCATTACAAAATTCTTCATACGTAGTACTATCATTTAGAGTAACAGTAAAAGCAATTGAAGATTTGAATCAAACTTATACCTCGCAATCACAATTCCTTCCATCCCATATAAAACCGAATAAGTGTATAAACCGTCAAAACATCGTCAAAACAAATACACATGTTAAACATGTATATACACAGGTAACCACAACTTATCAAAAATAGAGATACTTAACCATCATCATCAAATCTAAATAGTGAATATGGAAGGTAATCACAATAAAAAAAAATGCATAAACCGAACGCAACCCGCAACAAATCTTATAGACGTTTAAATAGACACCTTACAGATCATATACGAATAATAGAAAAAATACATCAAAATTGGCAACAGGTACATAAACAGAAACACAAAAAGTGCATTAAACAAAAATGATTACACAAGTACATTTTACTTCACATATGTTACTAATTATGTGCATTACATATCCAACATGCATAAAAAAATATAGGTACATTATATGAATAAACTACATCAATATTCCATTAAGTATAGGTACATATACACACTATAGGTACACAATTACACAAATAAATCAAATTGAACATGTAGCTATAAATATAAGGGCCTTCTCCATGTAAAGGCATCTAAAAAAATCCAACAAATGAGGTAGAGTGTAACCCTATCTTGTTCTCCAACCAATATAGAGTGTTGAATGAGCAAGAGACTTTATTAGAGTGAATTAGTCAAATTCTTTAGCTAGTGAACCACTATAGCTTGTGTGTTTTTTCCTTTTCCCAGCTCTTACCTCTGTCATCCAATTAGTGTAGCACATCACAGAGCCATCAGGCTCAATCACCAGATTGATGTCACATTCATTGTTCACTTTCACACTACTGCACACAAGCACACTTTGAGTGCAAAACATCATGAATTACTAATTCAATGACTACAATAAATTAGTCCAATATATAAAATTAACAAATTAAATCTAAATAGTATTATTATTCTTTTGTCAAGACCGAAGGAATCAGCACTACTGAACAAGAAACTGTTATCCATTCAAAAGGTTTCTGAGGTTCACACTCGGGATTGCCCCACCAGCTTTATCTTTTACGAGAAAAGAAAAGAATCTACACAAACAGCCACAACTTTTCTTAATATAGGAATATAAAAAGTGACAAGACCAAATACAGAACTTTGTCCTAATGGAATTGAGTTTTCCCACTTCAATATCATAATCTTCATGATTTAGTGGGAACATGAAGAGAATTTTCATATTCAGACTACCATTTTGAAGAAACGCACAAATAGGCGGAGCCCAGAAGGGGCCAAGGAATCCGTGGCCAACCTTAAATAAATTTCTGGCTCCCCTCTGTACACGCACCATATTTAAGAGCTGTAGCCAGTGTGTGTGTGTGAGAGAGAGAGAGAGATGGGGAACAATATAGGAGGAAGGAAGAAAGCCAAGGTGATGAAAATCAACGGCGAAATCTTCAAGCTAAAGGCTCCAATATCAACCTGGGATGTAGTTAAGGACTTCCCGGGTCACGTATTATTGGAATCAAATTCAGTTAAGCAGTACGGCATTAGAGCAAAGCCATTAGAGCCACAAGAAGAGTTGAAGCCCAAGAAAGTTTATTTTCTAGTGCAACTGCCTAAGATGCCTGAGGAGAAGGTCCCAAGAAGGGCGCGATCAGGTGTGCACATGAGCGCGAAGGACCGGCTTGAGTGCCTGATGTTGTCCCGGAGATCAGTTTCCGAGCTTTCGACTATCAGACCGACGACTCTCGTGTCCGGTTTACCTGGACCGAGTTCCGGTTCTGTTCAGGTTAAGATGAGGCTACCAAGGGCCCAAATGTCTAGATTGGTTGAAGAAAGCAGAGATGAAGCAGAGGTGGCTGAGAAGCTCATAGACCTTTATGTCAAGAACGCCGATGAAGCCGATAGCATAGCACCGGATGGAGAAAGCAATTTGGGGCACAGGCAAGTTCAGAAGAGGCCTGGTCTTGATAGCATTAGAGAAGGCTGCAAAGACCCTGAGGTTTCTTTGATTTGAATTGCACTAGTTATTCAGAATTGGGGTCTGAGAATTGTTAAAGATTGGACAAATGGGTACCAAATATTGTGCCAAGAACTGTTATATTGATTTCAAGTATTGCCTTTAGGCTCTAATTTACTATGTACTGGGCACCCCAAATGATCTGCTATTTGATAAGTTGAGCTCGAGTTTAGTAGTAGGAAGAATTAGACNATATTGTGCCAAGAACTGTTATATTGATTTCAAGTATTGCCTTTAGGCTCTAATTTACTATGCACTGGGCACCCCAAATGATCTGCTATTTGATAAGTTGAGCTCGAGTTTAGTAGTAGGAAGAATTAGATACATTCATTTAAAAAAAAAATTATAATCACCAAAAAAAAAAAAAGATTTGCAAGGTCCGCAAGGTCGTGGCTAAGCCTGTCAATCGATCCGATCTTATTCGAATCAAAATATGATTAGCTAGATATGATTAACATTTTTTTATCAATAATTTGAATCTAATACCTTATATTTTAGGAATTTGAATTTGGATACACCTATATTCGATCTAATCTGATTCGAATTATTTATATATTTATGTATAAATATTAAAAAAATTAAGTGATTATTTTAAAAAAATAGTTAAAATTTAGGTATAATTTGTTTAAATTTAGTTAATTAAGTTATTTGGATTGAATCGAATTTTCGAATCGGGTTCCGAATTGTTAACGGATTCGAATATGTACCAAAAAAATAAAAAATCTATCAAATTGTCGAATCGAAGTTTGAAATCAAATTCGNTTTAGGTATAATTTGTTTAAATTTAGTTAATTAAGTTATTTGGATTGAATCGAATTTTCGAATCGGGTTCCGAATTGTTAACGGATTCGAATATGTAACAAAAAAATAAAAAATCTGTCAAATTGTCGAATCGAAGTTTGAAATCAAATTTGAATTCAGATCATTCAAAATTCGTTCTAAACTTGATTCATTGACATACGTAGTCGTGGCTGGGGGTCTTTGTGGAAGCCAGTTTTCAATAATCAGCTGTGCAGTTTCAGAATCTTTGTATTGACTGGAATGTTATTTGGAGTCTNCATTGACATACGTAGTCGTGGCTGGGGGTCTTTGTGGAAGCCAGTTTTCAATAATCAGCTGTGCAGTTTCAGAATCTTTGTATTGAATGGAATGTTATTTGGAGTCTGAATAGATTGGTCAAATATTTTTTTAGAATGGTACTTGCGAGTTTTCTACCTCATACGGGTCAACCAATGTTTCTTTTGTCGCCTAATATGTCATATGTAACTGAATGAGATATTTCATTGATTTTATCCCACATTTCGGGTTTACCAAAGCTAGAAATTTTGGACAAAGTCCTTGGCTGATGAGTGATGCTGTTTTTAAGGTTATGTGAACTGAGCTATCTAATTACTTTGATGAACGCCAATCATACAAACAAAAACGCAGACTTTAACGAATTTGGCGAATAAAGAAAAAACAAGTAAAATGGGCATAAAAGCACGTTATATATGTGGTTTATATCAAAGGTAATTCATTGGTTCACAACTCAATTTTACTATATTATTTTGAAAAAATATTATTTTTGAGGATATTTTGTTGATAGTTGATAACGTATTTAGTACGACAGAGCAGAGATGGGAGATTGATGGATACTGAGCAACTCAGTCTGAGCTCTTAGGCTCCTAAGATTTGGGTAAGGGAATGGGGTTTAATACACAGAAAGTTTATAGTGGTTTACCAGCTCACAAGCTCAACTAATCTACTCTTAAAAGAGTTTCTTGCTCCTTGGGCTTCTATTAATAAATAAATGAGATTACAGAGAGTTATTCTGATTACAATTGCTTTTCTGTTCATTCCTAGGGGTTATGCCCCTTATTTATAGTTTATCTTGAGCCTTGTTTGACCTTTGGTGGATCCTTACTCCTCCTTGAAACGGTTGCTACTATCCTGCAACGGTTATGGAGGGTGTTGGCATAGTTGCAGTTCTTCTGTCTGGATATGCGACGGTTACTATCTGGGTGGTGCTTGGGTGGAGGCCAGATATCTTTTGCGCTATCCTCTTTGAGACGCAGCTACAGAGATGGGAGGTCTGACCTCGAGCTCCATGGGCATTCAAAGTGAGATGGTCTCCCGATCTAGGAAAGNACCAATGTTTCTTTTGTCGCCTAATATGTCATTTGTAACTGAATGAGATATTTCATTGATTTTATCCCACATTTCGGGTTTACCAAAGCTAGAAATTTTGGACAAAGTCCTTGGCTGATGAGTGATGCTGTTTTTAAGGTTATGTGAAGTGAGCTATCTAATTACTTTGATGAACGCCAATCATACAAACAAAAACGCAGACTTTAACGAATTTGGCGAATAAAGAAAAAACAAGTAAAATGGGCATAAAAGCACGTTATATATGTGGTTTATATCAAAGGTAATTCATTGGTTCACAACTCAATTTTACTATATTATTTTGAAAAAATATTATTTTTGAGGATATTTTGTTGATAGTTGATAACGTATTTAGTACGACAGAGCAGAGATGGGAGATTGATGGATACTNGATGCTGTTTTTAAGGTTATGTGAACTGAGCTATCTAATTACTTTGATGAACGCCAATCATACAAACAAAAACGCAGACTTTAACGAATTTGGCGAATAAAGAAAAAACAAGTAAAATGGGCATAAAAGCACGTTATATATGTGGTTTATATCAAAGGTAATTCATTGGTTCACAACTCAATTTTACTATATTATTTTGAGAAAATATTATTTTTGAGGATAGTTTGTTGATAGTTGATAACGTATTTAGTACGACAGAGCAGAGATGGGAGATTGATGGATATTGAGCAACTCAGTCTGAGCTCTTAGGCTCCTAAGATTTGGGTAAGGGAATGGGGTTTAATACACAGAAAGTTTATAGTGGTTTACCAGCTCACAAGCTCAACTAATCTACTCTTAAAAGAGTTTCTTGCTCCTTGGGCTTCTATTAATAAATAAATGAGATTACAGAGAGTTATTCTGATTACAATTGCTTTTCTGTTCATTCCTAGGGGTTATGCCCCTTATTTATAGTTTATCTTGAGCCTTGTTTGACCTTTGGTGGATCCTTACTCCTCCTTGAAACGGTTGCTACTATCCTGCAAAGGTTATGGAGGGTGTTGGCATAGTTGCAGTTCTTCTGTCTGGATATGCGACGGTTACTATCTGGGTGGTGCTTGGGTGGAGGCCAGATATCTTTTGCGCTATCCTCCTTGAGACGCAGCTACAGAGATGGGAGGTCTGACCTCGAGCTCCATGGGCATGCAAAGTGAGATGGTCTCCCGATCTAGGAAAGCATGACCTGCATTACCGAGCTCATCCTTGAGCATATTTAAGGTATCATCAATAGTCATTACCTTATGCCTTAAATGGAGAAATAAGTGGACGATGACATTATCATAATCTAAATTTTACACCAATAATTAATTGAGTTTTGGATTTAATGAGTCAAACGAATTTTTATAATAGCACAGTATGGTAGTTGATTTTGAAAGGTTTTACATAACTAAAAATTTGTCATTAAAGATACTAAGTGACTAATCATGTTGAATCAAATTATTGACTATGACGTTATTTAGTCCCCTCAATATAGAATCTTAATTTCGTCTGTGAATGAAATGTGTTTCGTAACTTCATTACATATTGATGGTGTAATTTACGTGGTCGTGTAGTAAAGCTTGGGGCTCAAAAGGGGAAAAATGGATTGGAGATTTGTAAGAGGCATTAATGGAGTTACTAGAATACCTAGTCAGAGCTACTAGACTTTCGATGTTTAAACAATCGACAAAAGACTAATAATCAAGAATGAAAATCAATAGACATATGGTTTATAGTGGTTCAATAGCTCAGAAGTTTGGCTAGTCCACTCTAATGGAGTCTCTTGCTCTTGGGAGAGTTTTGTATTGCTTGGGGAAGACGATTACAATGCTCTTGAGAGTCAGTTTTCAAATATTCGATGATTTACAATGTGAGGGATTGATCCCTATTTATTGTGTAAGAGCATAGTCCTAACATAATCAGTGTCAACCCTTTGAGNTAGCAAAACATATTCCAGAGAGCCCCGTTATCGATAGAACATAGAACCACTTATCAATAGAACACATTCTGGAGAACCTTTCTTCTGGTAGAACCTAACTTCTCCTATTGGTAATTTACACATTGTCTTTTTTCCTACCCGTNAGTTTTCAAATATTCGATGATTTACAATGTGAGGGATTGATCCCTATTTATTGTGTGTAAGAGCATAGTCCTAACATAATCAGTGTCAACCCTTTGAGATTGTTATGACCTATGTGATGGAATATTTGGCCATTGGAGGCTATATTCCCTAAGCATAACATGGCCTTCTAGAAAGTGTGAGTTGTCGCTATCATAGTGTGCATGAGGGTCACGTTGGTGCTGACACTCGATCTGCAGTTCTCAAACTAGAAATCATGAGCTGGGAGGTTTAAACTGAGGTCAAGAGCTAGGAGGTCAAAGCTGGGGTCACTAGCTGGGCAGTTGGGGATTAGGACCTTAGCATGTTCACCTGACCTTAGTTGCCTCGAATTAGAACCCAAATTTTGACGTTATCATGCCAACCCCTATTAAGGGCATGTTTTTGAGCTACTTTTGGACCGAGCTTAACCTTGGATTATTTTTTGTATAAGCNTTCACCTGACCTTAGTTGCCTCGAATTAGAACCCAAATTTTGACGTTATCATGCCAGCCCCTATTAAGGGCATGTTTTTGAGCTACTTTTGGACCGAGCTTAACCTTGGATTATTTTTTGTATAATCNATTGTCCCAGTAAATTCTTGTGTGCCTTTGTGTGAGTTTGTGTGTCCTTATTCTTGAGTTTGTGTGGCTGATTGCAGTGGCAACGCCGTCACAGGTATCCTTGAAAGAAAAAATGAGTTGTTACCCCATGACAGTTTGGTATCAGCGCGTTGGTTTTGGCAAAAAGATCGACCTATGGCTAGCGGAACGAATGCAGATTTGAGGGAAAGGGTGGCACATTTGGAGGAGTTGGTTGGTCCTCCCCAATCCGATGATGTTGTAGCCCTTTCTGTGCAGCTTGAATTACTGTACCAGCAGTTCGAGGAGATACATGTTGCA